GTGGGGTGGGAGGTTCTGAGGAACTCCTGCCTTGAATCCCTAAAGAGGGAGAAATCACCATTGAGATGAGATGATGGCAAGTGAATTGGAACAATTGCTATCATAATACAAAGACCTGGAGATTGCAAAGATTTGCAAGACACTCCAGCAAGGGGCTCTGCACAGGAGAGCAGTCCCCACTGCTTTGCCTTTTATTTGCCATCCTGTACTTGCACAAGGCAGCAGCCCCATCTTTATGGCTATTGATGCTTCATATTACAGAAACACAGAAAGGCCAGAACTGAGATCGGACCCTTTTGTGCTATGCACTGTACATAGACATAGTAAGAGACCCAGCTGTGAAGAGTTTACAGCACAGGGCAAACCGAGGCTGTGACTTGAATAAGGTCATGCAGGGAGTCCATAGCAGAGCCACGGTTACAACTTGCCCTCTCCAGTCTGGTGGCCTACACACTTGGCTCTTCATAGCTGTCATTTGTCATCTTGATTCTCACAGCCCAGAATAAACTTAGGCAAATGCAGCAGGCCCCCATCCTCCTGCCTGATTTCCTCCAGTTGTTGAGTAATGAATTGTAAATTGTGCCTAATGCATTGCTGATTGCTCTGATTGAATCTTTCTGCAGAGTCTGTACTACAGAGGTTGCTATGAGTCCCTGGTGATTGATATTTCGTGAGCGACAGACCTTTCTTTAGGGCCCTTTTTTAAAGGGACCAGCACATTATACAGTGTATTTTTTCTCAGGAAAAGCAGTTTACACTCCAGGCTGGACACTAGCTCATTATTTGAGCCAAGGCAGGGGTTTAGAAGCATGCCTGCCCTGTGAAGTACCTGCTCCGGTTATACTGACAGGACTCTGACAAAGCATCGAAGAGGGGAGGAGAAAGGGAGTGGAACATATGGACTTCTCAGAGAATAAAGGGGAAGGCCACAGAGGAGAAGTGGGGAGAATGAGCAACCCAGCAAGGATGCAGAAACATTATCTCACTGAACAGCAATCTGCCTGGGCACTGGAGTGGCTGCAAGGGAGCAGACCCCAGACAAGGCATGCTGCACACCTGGGGGTCCTCCACTGTGATGGATGCATGATCAGTTTGTCTCTATTTCCCCCCATTGGCAGCCTTGTTTTCGGCTAGCCCGGTCCATCAGTCCAACGGCAGAGAGAGAGCTTAACAAAATGTTGCTGCTCCCCCTGATTTTTGGTAGTTCAGAGGTGGTATTCTTTTCCCTGCCTGGATATGAGGGTCCAGTTTTAGTTCTTTACATGGCATTTGGTTGTCTAATTGTCAAGTTAGGACCAGAGCCAGGTTAGAGTTCTTGTCCTGGTTGCACTCCTGGACACATAGATGATGAAGCAGTGACAGCAATGGAGGGTGAGACTCTTTATCCTTTGCCCCTCACTACAGCTGAGTGGCTAGAGTACTTGCCCAGGAAGCCAGAGAATCTATGGTTTCTAGGCCCCCTTCACCCAGGGGACATTTAAACCTGCATCTCTTGGACTTCCCAGCATAGTATTTCAACCACCACACCCCAGGTTAGGCATTATCCACTGCTGCCACGGGCTTCTTTTCAAGTTGACTCTCTTACCTAGCCATAAGAGGGAGGAATGTGGGAGGCATGTCAAGGGCTAGGAGGAAGGGAGAAAGCCAGAGGTTGTGAGGCTCAGTGAGGTGGCTGCTGGCCTGGCAGCAACGGGACCTTGGCTTCTAGCCTGGACCCTTGTTCCTAGCAAGGTGGAAGCACTGCCCTCTGTTCAATGATTATTAAATGCAAAGGGCTGTGGCTTAGCTTCCTGTATATAAGTGACATTTTTAGACCACCAAAATGCCATGTAGGTGACCAACGCTGCGCACACAGCTAATTGGGAAGGGAACAGAATGTCACCCCAAGTGTCTGAACACACCTTGGCTTATATCTACAGTGCCTGGGATTCAACGGTGATCTCCCATCCATATATTAGGCCCAGGGTTACTTAGTTTCTAAAAGCTGTAGGAATCTGGTCCGTGCACTCCCATGCATGACTGTATCTGTCTGGCAGTTGGCTCTCTGCACTGCCTGGATGGAGAAGAGAGGAGAGGATGTCAGATGTTTTCTAGTGCTGGGACTTGAGTTGCATTATTCTTCCCCCTGAGGAGTGAGTGGTTTTGCAAACTGCACACCATCACTGTGGGTGGTACCCATCCAGCACCTTCACTTCAAGCTGGTGGAAGAGCTTGCCAGATCTTTAGCTAATTTATGGCTGGGCTGCAAACTGCAGGTAGCATAGGAGGCCAGAGTCCATGAATAGACAGGAGTGCACGCAGACCAGCACTGCCTGATCTTGGCCCGAGGAGTCTCTGAGACCTGGCATAGCCATGGACCTGCTCATCCAGAGATTCTGGCAGATCAAGGTCAGTAGAGCAAGCTCCCTCAATGACCGAAAGCATTTAAGGATAGGCCGCTGAATCATAGTGTTGACAGTTTTATTCCCATGACCTCAGTTCTGAGTCCAGTTGCCAAGTCCTGTGTGAGAGCCTCTTCATGGAGTTATGAACACAGGGAGGAGAGACCTTGGCTGAGGCAGTTTTTCTTCTGCAACATGCACACAACCCCTCCTGTGCACACAGACCTGTATACAAACACACCCCTACACAAACATGCACTCATTCTTATACACTCGCACAGATTCACCCCCTGCCAGGGTTGGTCGTAACCCTGTCTACTTACATTAACACACATGCACCTACTCGCCCACCACACCCCTATATATATATATATCTATATATCACATACACATACTTATGCACATTTACACCTGCCCCTAGGCCAGTCTACAGAAACACACCTGCAAATTTGTGTTGACTGGGGTGAAATCAAATGAGCTGAGATTAATTTTTCAAGCTGAGAATCTAGCCCACAACATGCTATATCTTGCATCGATCCACACTGAAAACGCACGCTACATAAAACATGATCGCAGGAGATGAACCTGGAGAGCTATTCATGATCAAATTCTGCGGCACTTGCTCATTATGGCTAAACAAGCAGTCATAGTTTTTTTCACTGGGGAAACTTCCAGAGAAGCTCCAAGGCCAGTGACTTCAATGGGAGTTTTGCCACTGGCTTCGACAAGAGCAAGTCCTGGGTTTCTATTTCAGTGAGCTAGTGTACATCCAGTTAGCTCCATTGACTTTGGTGCAGTTACATTCACCTATAGCAGCTGAGAATCTGGCCCAGTGTTAGTACATCAGTAGGGTTTGTTGCATGTGGGGTATGATAGTGGTTAGTCCGCTGGTGGGGGCTATAGTCTTGGGCTTAGCCGCTGACTTACTGTGACAACTTGGGCAAGTCACTTCATCTCTCTGTGCCTCTATGTCCCCTTTATCCATCTTGTCTGTTAGGGTACAAGGGCTTTGGCTAGAAACGGTCTGTCCCCATGGTCGCATAGAAACCCTAACAGAATGGGACCTGACCTTGGATAGGCTGTTAGATGCTGCCATGCAATAGCAACAACAAATAGTAAGGAATCTGATTCAGAGTTTTTCCACCGTGCACGGATCACCTGTGTAGACTCACTCCATAATGCATAGCACAAGGGCTGATGAATGCACTTTCGCTGAAAAGGCAGAGTTCCTGTTAATAGCATAATTACACTGTAGAGTAATTGCTTCCCTCAAAATACACTGGTGAAAATGCTTCCCCATCATGGTTCTAATTAGAGAACACTTTCAGACAAAACAGACACCGTAAATCTTTTAAACAATATGGGCTGGATCCCTAGCTGGTCTAAAAAGGGTGTAGGTTTATCCAAGTCTCTGGGACTCGAGTGGTTTTCACCAAAGAATGGATCTGGCCCTATGCTAAGTAGCAACAACCCTGGGACGCAGGGAGGCAGGTACGATCAATGGCTTTGCACACAGTGCCAATATTCTGCAGACGTCATCTGTTGTAAAACTGTCCTGAAAGATTTAGCTATGTGCTCCCTGGCCATTCAGTTGCTCTGATAACGTCAGTGGTGGGAGATAACCTGGTATTTGTTGCTGTCGTATAAACACAAGCAAAGCCTGTTCTTGGCTCAGACTGTATTTTCAGTTGTTGCAGAGCAAGTCCTCAACTCTGACCCAACAGGATGGGCCTGGTGTTAGCCACAAGGAGGGGAGTGTTGGAAGTGGGCAATGATCATGTTGTTCTTGGAGAGGCCGGCCAGGCTTTGCAGGAGGCAGCTGGTGCTCCTCCTGCCTGCAGACCAAAAGCCATTGAATCAGATGAAGCAGGGGGCATGGGAGACCACTTGCAGGCAGGGTTGGGTGATATCATCTCCATCCCACCTGGGGTAGGTGAGGGTCCTCTCCAGCTGTGACTCACCCTGCCCTCCCATCTGGATCAGGGCAAGGCCCCACTAGCAATGGTGTGCTAGAAGCTGCAAATTAAGCTTCCTGTACCAGGGGAAAAAACTCCCCGTTGGGATGTCTGCAGCCACCCTCTCTCCCATCTGGACCAAGGAAAGGTCCTCAATGCAGTGAAATGCCAGACACCGTCTGGACAGCATGAAGGCCCCATCAGAACTGAGGCCTCCAGCAGCTCAGTCTAACCCAGTTGCAGTGTCCATGTACAGCCTGAGCCTCCCTTCACAGCTGAGCCAAATGGAGCAGGTTTTATGCTTTAATTGCCTCTGGTGTTCCTGTGTTGCAGGTCCCATTGATGAACAGGAACTGAGGGGCTGATTTCCAAAGCCGGCACTTGCCGCTCTCGAGGACATCCCCACTCCACATCTGTCCCTTCTCATCCCATCCGGACGCTTGGCGCCAAGCCAGAGAGTTCCCAATGCCTAAGAATAGCAAAGTGACGCAGCGGGAACACAGTAATGAGCATGTCACTGAGTCTGTGGCTGACCTGTTGGCCCATGAGGAGCCTGTGGACTACAAGCGCAGTGTCTTAAATGTGGCTGGAGAGACCTGGGACAAGCAGAAAGATGCTGAGGAGGACCTGGACTCTGAGAACCGGCCAGCGTGGAACAGCAAGCTGCAATACATCCTTGCGCAGATTGGCTACTCAGTGGGGCTGGGGAATGTCTGGCGGTTTCCATACCTGTGTCAAAAAAATGGAGGAGGTAAGAGACTCTGGGAGTTGGCACAGGAAGGCTTCAACCAATGCAAACCTAGGGGGAACATCTGGGGTCAAATCCTACCCTAGTTGCCCACATGCAGCTCCTGCTGACATCTGTAGGAGGTGTCCATGCGTGTCTTAAGGGCAAAAATAAGCCATGTGTGTTATTAGCACTCTTGGAATGTAGGAAAAACACCTGACAGGTATTTAGGAGATGAAATTGTGCCACTCTGTATTGCTGGAAGGGAATTTGCCCATGATCTTTGAACCTGGCTCATCTTTGACCAACATATAGGGTGGCCATCATAGAGGACATTCTGGTTTTCTGCTACTCTGTCCTCGGTCGATATGAAATCCAGAACCTTCATGTCCTCTATTTTTCTCTTCAAGAAAAGGCATAAAAGCATTCAAGTTTCATATCGACAGAGGACAAGCGTGCTGTCCTGTATGGTGGCCACCCTACCAACATAGGTAGTTCCACTGAAAACAACAATAGCTGAAGGTCCAGCCACCCATTGATATGGACATCCTGTTTGTATGTCTGCATGTCTGTTCATCCATCCATCCATCCCAATCCTCATTAAAGAACATTCATCTTTATACAGTTGCAAGCACAGGATTGTGTCTGGGCTGCATCAGGTTTTCTTTGCGGGAAACTGAATATGACATCGCTGCAGCGATGTCATATATCACAACGGAAGTAGACACTGGCATTTTACTGGTGACTTGTACAAGGATAGGAACTTCTGAGTTTTCTTCTTGTGCCCGTGGGAGAATTGATGCTCGTCTCAAACTGGTTTCACACCAGCATGACTCCATTTACATTAGTGTAGTGACTCTTGGTTTTTCCCCAGCATGTGTGAGAGCAGGAGCAGGTGTAGTGAGTGTGGTATAGGAAATGGAGAAGTGCCCAGGAGCCTGAATTTCTAGTGGCTCTCCTATGGCCTTGTAAAGTAATCTTGGGCTAATCAGCTAACCACTCTGTGCCTCAGTGCCATGACTGGTGATGAGACTAAGCTGCCTGAGACCGCTCAGTTATCTACTGCTTCTCTTGGCAATTACTACAGTGAGCTTACTTACCAATACAGGATTCAGAAAGGACACTCTTCTGCTTCCTTGCTTCCCCTTCTGTTTCCCCCCCCATCCGCTAGCCCAGGCTCTGCTTTCTGATAACCACACATAGTCCCCACTGACTTCAAAGCACAGGGTCAGGCCTGCTGTGTTAGCCTGTGGGGCCTGGTACACAGCTATGCCAAGTAACCCTGGCTCCTAATGAGAGCTCAGTTGCTGAGCGGATTTGAAAATCTGGCCTTCAGCATCTTCGCGGCACAGCACTACCCTTCCCACTGGAAGCTGCATCTATCTCCATAGCTCATGCTCTCATTATCTCGGGGAACTCAGTTCCCTGGGGTAAAATTCAGGCAGCCAGACCCTGAGCCTGCCGCCTATTTGTTGTCCCCCCTCACAGATCACCCACATGGAGCCTTTTCTGGCTCTTTTCCTCCTCCTTGACCTTAATTACAGTGTTGCATAATTCAGCACCTGCCTAGATCCAGAGTTGCAGTGTCCTCAATAATTAACATGACTCTAGCCTCATCTTAGCGATGAATCATTCTCCTGAATGAACCTGTACAGTCAGCACTTGCCACTTAAGGGCTGCTCATGCCTCCCTCGCCTTTCCTTCCCAAATAGGATGGAGTACACCATTGGCCAGCTCCAGGGTGCCTGCGCTTCCCCATCATCTGATTCCCCTTGTGATCTGACTGCACACTGACCGTGACCCTGTTCGGTTCAAAGAGAGGATAAGCTCATAGTGCAGGCATGAGGAGTTCCATTGCATTGCATGTATTTGAATACGCATGCCTTGGTTAAAAGGGACTGCAGATACACAGATATGCTCGTGTTGTTGTACTGCTCTGAACGTACATAAACACATCTGTATGGTCGATCGTACATTGTCTATATGCAGCTGTGCGGGCATTGGTTGTATTATGTACATGATTGTGTGCATGGATTGGTTGCACTGAGTGAATTTATAAAGTTACCAGGAGGAGGTTGAATGCAATTACTGGGCCAGATTCTCCACTGGTGTAAATCAGTGTAGCCTGTTGATTCTATTAGGGCTATGTTGCTTAGGCCACCTGGCTTTATGGCTTTTGTGGTCCTCATTTACACTGTGGTAAACCAGATCAGAACCAGGATCAGAGCATGAGGTTTAGCGAGTGGACTAGTGACTAGCAATTGGGTTTCCTGGTTTTATTTCCATGTATTGCTATTCCTTACTATGTGCTGTCCGACAAGCTGCCTGACAACTCTGACCTTTGGTTTCTCCCTTGGCCCACCTCATCTGTGCTTGTGGGAGGCCTGTTCAGTTAATGGTTTTCAATTTACTGCAGTTGAAGAACTGGCCTTGTGTCCATTCAAATCCCCTATCCATTCTCCCTATCGTTGGGTCCCCACTGACAGCTTTGCTCTTGTCTCACCTTTCTCCCATGTTTACTGTCTATGGTCCAATCAATCGCTGCAATGTTTCCCTTACTTCTTCCAACTCTTGCCTTCTTGCTGCCTTCTGGAGAGGAAGGCTGACCACCCAGCTTAGGGTATGAGGTTATGACCAGGGAACTGTGAGTTCAAGCCATAGGTGTCTTGTGTGATCTTGGGCAAGTCACTTTACCCAGCTTCTCAGGGATATTTAGGGACCTAAACTCCCACTGAAATCCAAAGATGTATAGGCACCTTTGGAGATGGTCTCTAGGCAACTAAATAGTTTATAGCTCTGTGCCCTAGTTTTCCATCTGTGAAATGGAGATAATGGTAATGCTTTCCTGTTACACAGCCAGTGCCATGGGTATGTTATAGACTGTGAAGAGCTCAAGTGTTATGGGGCAGGGGCCAGCTCAGAAGTGTCAACTTTCCTCTGATGGGGTGCAGTTGTTCCAGCCCACTGCTTGAAAAAGTTGTTGACTGCTGCTGTAAAAGCATTAATGAGCCTACTTTTTTATCATGCTATCTCCTTAGTTTTAAGACTATCCAATAAAGCAGCAAGCCAAAGAAGGACTTGCCTACCTTTGGCACGAAATGCTTTTCAGGGTGGACCAGAATCACATTTAGGTGCATCAATAGGTGGAACAGGATCAGGGCCCACAACTTCAGAGGTGCCCCATCCTTTCTTTGTGAGACACCACAAACATTCCCAGTGGTTTTTCATAGTCAGAGGAGGCTGTGGGGACTCTCCTATGACTTGCCATAGAAAGTCGTGGATTTTGAAGTTGTGACAACAGTCCAAACTCACAGGTGCAAACCCTCCCGGTGAGCTTTGAGCCATTCTAGGGAGGCTGGGACCATTTCAAAATTCAGTAACACTTTCTGCATTTTTCAGCATTTCCAATGAAGAAAGACATTAGATTAAAGGCTGAAAAGTGCTCCTGAAATGTGGTGAGGAGGGGTCATAGAGTCCTGGTCATCCACGCCCATTAGGTCTGGAAGGCTGTGCTAGGGGGACAACACGAAAGCTCAGAAAGCTGCAAGGGAACTGGGTTGCAATGCTTGATATGTCTTCATGTCTCTCTCTCCACTCACACTACATGTAGGCCCTTTTTGTTTCCTTTCCACCAGTGTGAGATGAGTGTTAGATGGTGGCAAATTTCAATCCAAATTCTTTCTTCACACGGGGATGGCATTTGACCCACACAGCCCGTGCAGGGGATGGGAGAATCTAACTCGCTGCCTGTGTTAATTTGTGTTGGCTGCAGCAGACATGCAAGGTCCTGATACATGTGTTGGGTGCCAGGCACTGACGTGTTAGTGCGGAATTACTGCATGTGCTTTCAGTTTGGAAGGAGCTTGTTGTTTGAAAATGGAGCCCCAATTCAGGCAGTTGCTTAATTAAGTAAGTGTCTGGCTTTAAAAAAAGAAAACCAAAAAAAAAAAAGCCTGCTGTTGATGTGTCATTTTTTCATTAATAGATCTTGAAGCTCCTTACAGAGCAGGTCCAGGGCAGAGACACAGCCAGGGATTGAACTGAAATGTCCTCAGTCCCAGCCCTAGTGCTCTGTCCACTGAATCATATTGCCTCCTACTTTGAGTCATATAATTTAATCGAGTTATTTAGACATGCAGTCTTTATTGTTTGTATAGTGCCTGATCCAGGCCTGGGAATTCTAGCTGCTACTGCAAAGTATATTAATACAACAACATTCATATTATTAACCATCATCACTACCTTATGCTTAAAGGCAGGCACAGGTTTAAGTACCTGGCCTTTGGGGGCCAAAGTGCAGGCTGACATCAGTTGGGTGATGTAGTGAAATGGCTGCAGTAGACTGAATTGTGCACTCCAAGCACACTGAGCTTATATGTGTTAGATGAAACACCGCAATGCGTGGGAGTGGCAAGTTGTGTTTGTTCCTGGCAACAAACTCTACATATGTTGGAGAGAACAGTTGTGTGCTGGTAGCAGAGGGAGACTGGGCCAGATCTTCAGAACGCGCTGTGCTCAAGAGCCCTCGCAATGATGTAATTTTTCTTCCTGATTTTGCACACCACGGTTAAAAATATGGGCATGGCACTATCACATGCCAGTTCGGCATGGAGGCAGGTGCATTTTTTGTCCCTGCTTATGTGCATAGGTCTGACAGCTTGGACTGCTATACTCCCAGGTACAACAGGCTGCTTTACAACACAGGGAGCTGTGAGGTCTGGTGTGCTGGGATGTGGTCATCTAGCGTGCACAGTTCTGAGCAGCTAAAAGGGTGATGTTAAGTGAGAGATTTAGCTGTAAAGCAGGGGGAGATTGTAGTAGCAGGAGTAAAGCTTAGGTTTTCATTAGAAACAATAGCCCAGATCATCGGCTGGTATAAATTAGTGACTTCAGTGGAGTGATGTCAATTTATAACAGCTGAGGACTTGGCCCAAGGAGGTTATGATGGATGAACTAAGCTGTGTTTAGCACTGATAATGCAAACCAGCTGGTCTCTTTGATAGATGCTATCTGGATAGGATAAGTCACCCATCCTATAAAGTGCTTTGAGATCCTTAGATGAAAAGCAGTGTGCAAGTAGAAAGCCTTATTATTATTGATGAGGTGAATTTGCCCTCTTGGGTACAAGTGCTGAACCTGTTTGTTGTTAATGAGAGGTAACTTTATGTATCTATTTATCTATCTATCATCTTGGATTATGCTTTCTCTCTTGCTCGCTCTCCTGCAAGAGCGTGATGGCTTTATCTCTCTCTCTGTCTGAATTTCTAAAGCTTCCAGCGCTGTAGATCACACTAATATCTGAAAACGTTGTCAGGGAGCTTGTCATAGGAGCAGAGTGACAGTGTACCTAGCCCTGAGTGATGTTGCTCTGCCAAATAGAGTTGTTCTGTGCAGACCATGACACAGGGTGATGGGTATCATCAATGATTTTGCACTGGCGTGACAGCAAAGTTGTTTTAGGTGCAGAATTAACCTGAGGACATGTTGCAGTGGTTGACTGGACAAGCCTGGTGACAAGCGGAAGGTACTGGTTTGTGGTTATGCTGCTGTGCTTTACATGCATGCCTCATGTAGCTGGCAGGAGGTTGCATAGGTATCCGTGTGAGATTAACACTTAACTGCCTGTGTATTGTTGTGGCAGAGGTGGTGGCTGTGTTAAGCCCAGCCTGGTGAGTTGAGCTGTGCAAGGGTAAAAATGTGTGGGGAAAACCCTGAAGTTCTGTCAGCTATGTGAGCTGGTTTGGGTTGGATCACAGTATGCTCGTTTCTAACCAGCATGTCCCACTTGCCAGGTATTGCAGGTCTTTTGATTAAATGCCTGCAGCCTTCCAGTCAGTAAAAATACAGGTTGTGACTAATTCTGCTTCTTTTGTTCTGAGCTTCACCGGGTCCTGGAGTAATTTATCAGCAGGTAGCTCCAACATGCGTCATTTTGTCCTTTTGTGGTCATCTGGATACGCTTCTTGAACTACTAATTTCTCTCCTGTCTCCCCAATTAGACAGAGATTAATGGTGCTTCTATTTAAAGCCCTTCCTCCATGGAGAGTTTCCATTTAGCCCTGGTAGGAGCTGCTCACTCTAGTAAGACAGCTGGCAGGCTGTCAAGCACAATTTTGAAGGCAGCTGCAAAAGTGAAGCGGCTACTACTGCAGGAGTTGATATAGCACTAGTGTGCTATTATGTCAGTCCATCCCATGCAGGTAGGTGCATGCCAGTCTTGTGTATCTGGGTGCTACAAGACAATGCATTTGCCTATGGCTGGGAACAGATGTTGCATTTTTACCCTGGAGAAATTTTACCTGGGTTTGTCCCAGAACAAATATCCCAGGATTGGCACATACACAAATTGCTTTTCCAGTTGGGGTTTAGTGAGTGGCTGAATGCACGGCTGATTTTCTGCCATTGATTTGGTGATGCAATTCTGGGACCACCAATCAGATGCACTTTCTGATGTCCCGGGGTAAATTGTAAGTACTTTTTATCTCCTAAATCTTTTTAGGATTTATCCCAGGACAGCAGACATCTGAATGATTGCAATTTGTCCCAGGATAAAACAGTTTATCCTGGGACAAATGTGAGGTCTGCTTGTAGCCTATGTGTTTTTTAAGGTATGTTTGTCTATAAGTATTTGTGTGCACAGATGTGTGTGTGTGTGTTTGTACAAGCATGGAGCTAGGAAGGAACCTGAAAATGTGATCTGCACCTGAAAGCATTTCATTATACACATGGAAGATGCAAAAGCATGTGTAGTCACTGCAGAGTGTGGTTGTGTGTGCATCCTTGTAGCTAGAAAGGAAACTCAGAGTGAGCATGTGTGTAACTATATGTGCATCATTATGTACATGTATCTATACAGACACCTGTGCATGTTCTATGTTGGCCAATGGCCAGGTTCTTTGGGTGAATTTGATATCTTTTATTAGATAGTTGGGGAATTGTTTTGGTTTTTTTTTTTTTTTTTTTTTTAAAATTTTTGGGTTTTAAAAACCCTTTTTGGACTGTTTTTTTTTTTTTTTTTTAGCAAGCTTTCAGGTTTAAAAACCCTTTGTCAGACTGAGGTTGCCTCTGCAGTTGGTGTGTGCTCTTCCTGGATGGAAGGAATAGTAAAGAAGCCAGCGGCTGGGCGGGTACGCATACAAGACAGGCAGTCGATGATGATTGAGGAGTCAGTGGGTGAGAGACGGGTTGGGTGGTAGGGTGAAGGGGGATGAATGTAGCCATTAAATAGTGGAGAGGTACCTGGGGAGTCAGCTGTCAGGCAGGTTATAATGTGTCATAAATCCAATATCTATATTTAGTCCATGATTTTTTTTTTTTGTATCCAGGAGGTTGATGAAGTGAATGTGTGTGTATCATGCAGGCATCTGTGTATGTATGCCTATCGAGTACCTATAGATATCTGTGTGTGTTGCCATATCTCCCCCTCCTCCTTTCTGTATGAATGCAGTTATGTTGGACTGCAATTTATGCATTTACACAGGTACTGTGTTGTGTTCCTGTATAGGTGTGTGTGTCTATGGTGGTTTCTCCAAGCCTGTGCTTCCTCTGCACGTGTGTGGGAGATTCCTGTGGTTTGGGGTTATAGCGAATAATCGGCTGCTGAGACATCGTGGTTTAGACTGTTTTGTTTCTTCTCCCCAGTAGGAAGGACCTCTGCCTTTTCAGAGCAGTGGCAGAGATCCCACCTCTCTAACTGACCTTCTCTCTCCCCTCAGGTGCCTATCTGGTCCCGTACCTAGTGCTGCTCATCATCATTGGGCTCCCTCTCTTCTTCCTGGAGCTGGCCGTGGGTCAGAGAATCCGCCGGGGCAGCATTGGAGTGTGGAACTACGTCTGCCCCCGCCTGGGGGGCATTGGATTTGCCAGCTGTCTAGTGAGTTTTGCTTGCAGGAGTTTCCCCTCGGGCACGTGCAGGGGGAGGTCTTTTCTAGGGGCCGTGCCAGCTGCAAAGATTGTTTCCCAGCTATAGCGTAACTGGAGAAACAACAGGCTAGTCTTCAGTTGAAATGGAAAGTGAAAAATGGTTGGGGACATGGTTTTCCTTTCCCTTAGAAATGTCAAAATCTCTACAATTTTTAGCAAACCAAACAACCCCCTAAATCCACTTGAAGAAATAAGAAACCTTGTTTCACTAATTGAAATCTCATAGAAGTTAAGGACTGGAAAGGACCTTGAAAGATCATTGAGTCCACCCCCCTGCTCTGGGCAGGAATACTGATGTGATCAAATGATGGCTGGTTTTGATTTTGATTTTTTTGTTGTTGTTGGTTTTTTTTTTGTTTTTTTTTTTTTTTTAAATCCTCTCTTTGTTTCTATTCGCTAACATTTGTAAAGCAAGGAATTGGAACTTATAAAAAAAACAAATGCTCTGGTTCAAAAAAGCTGCTATTTGCCTAGCTCCATCCCAAAGCTAAAGGTTTGAGCCTTTGAAATTCCACCCAAAAGGTCAGGCTTTCTAACAGATTCCCCATCCTCTGTGTATCAGGAACAGGATGGGATGCACATGCCTCGTGCTGCTCAGTGGGTTTTACATGTGATTCATCAATGTGATTATAAGTGACCAGCTGAGCAAATTCCTCAGAAGGAACCCACCGCTTAACAAACCCGCCTTTTGCTCTCAGTTGGTGAGACAGCAGCACAGTCGCCCAGCCAGTTAGATGAAATTCATTGCTTCTTTCTTTTCTGAGTACGTGAGAGATTTAAGAAGATACTCTAGGAATTCCCCCCCCACAAGTAATGCTGTGCCTCTTAGTTACATGGGTCAAGTGGGGAGGCTTCTGTTCTCAGGCTGGATAGTATATTGTAGCATATAGGGGAAAAAAAAGGATGAGTCTTTAACTGGGTTGTGAGCCCTCTGGCCACACTTAGTGTGTCCCATACATTAGAAACCACCCAAACCGTGTTGGAGCACCAATGTGCATGTAGCCAGGCTTTGCATGTATGTACACACTTAGCAAATACAGTAATTTGGAACCCAGCTATGCCCACGTGGTTGTGTAAAAAAGTAAATGATACAACACACACATAATGTGTTTGTGCAGCACAAGCTGCAGATGCTCCCAAGGAAAGTGCAATTCGTAGATTATTATGCCAGAAGGGACAGTAGTGAGCATCTGGTCTGGACTCCTCCAGAACACAAGCTATAGGACTTCCCTGCATTAATTCTTGATGAACTAGAATCTCTCTCTCAAGAAAATAACATCTGGTCTTATTTAAACATTGCAAATGAGGATGAGTTGCTTTCATGATTCCTTACCTTTACGGTTGACTATTTGCACCTTTTCCTTAGTATAGATTTCTCTAGTTTTCAGCTCCAACCATTGGGGTCTGCTCTGATTGAAAGCTGGCAACTCAAGCTGCACGTTTGCTTTCCATAAAAATTCAGGACAAGGGCCTGGACAAAGCCATGGAAGCCTTCCACAGTCAAGGAACTGTGGATCTGACCCTGATTACCATGACCTGTGATGCAAGCTGCTCTCTTAGCTCAAGGGTTTCCTGCACAGTGTGAAGTCTGTCTGGTGGATGCATCATGTGGGATTTAAACATCATATTATTCTCCCTTCCCAGGTCTGTCTTTTTGTTGGTCTCTACTACAACGTGATCATTGGATGGAGCATCTTCTACTTCTTTAAATCCTTTCAGTATCCCCTGCCCTGGAGTGAGTGCCCCATCATTAACAATGGCACAACGGCCAGTAAGTAATTCCTTTGTTGCTCCAGCTTGACAATTACTGGGACAATAGCATCTAGGTTTGCAAATGGTTGCAGCTGCCAGGAGGTGGCACCGCATCTGGGAAAGTGTTTCCAGGATTGTGGGTAGGTTTCATAGCTGATAGCTGTCCTGCAGTGGGGATGCACTGGGTTAGGGCTGTTTTCCATCCACTGAGATGTGCCCTTGTGTGAGTTGCTCTTGGGACTTGGTTTTCTCCGGGGGCTCCTTGTTTCCAGGTGCCAGTGTCACCTGATTGCGCTAAAGCAGCGCTGGGTGCTGGATCTGTGCTGTCAGGATTGCATATGGATTCAACAGCTGGGAAGTCTATTTAAAGCATTTGTTTGACTGGTTCCTAAGAGCTCAATAAAGTTTCTGGCTAAGCTAATAGAGCATTTAATAACATCTCTACACTTCTTCGGTACATCTGTGACTATTTTATGGGAAGCGTAAATTGCACCATTTATTTAACATCTTTTCAGTTGACAACACCTCCATATTCTCTGCTAAAGATCCAATTCCCTGAGCTCTGAAGTGACGTTTGCCTTTTCTGCAGTCCATGGATCTTGCACTGTAACTTAGACAGACCCGGGTCTCGGACTTGATGATCTGTTCAGGTCCCTTCTGACCCTAGAAACTATTAATGATGCACTGCCCCCATAAGATTCTGGGTAAGTCTCCAACAAACCCAACCCAAGCTCCTGTGACACTTATTTGTTTCAGTTGTGGAGGCAGAATGTGAAAAGAGCTCGGCTACCACTTACTTCTGGTACCGGGAGGCCCTGGACATTTCCGACTCCATCTCGGAGAGTGGGGGGCTTAACTGGAAGATGACTCTGTGCCTGTTGACAGCCTGGAGTATCGTGTGCTTGGCCATGATTAAAGGAATCCAGTCTTCAGGCAAGGTGAGTGTTGGCACTAATGCTACAAAAGAAGACTCCTCCTGCAACTGGGTGAGGTGAGGTTACAAACATCAAGGTTATCGGGAGACCTTTCCATTATAGTTGGGAGTGTCTGGCCAAGATAGGTCTAGCTAAAATAGCATGTGACGTGCCTACACAGAAAAATGGAAGTGTTACAAGTGTAGTCCCTGAGCTAGCTTTAATTTACGTGGCTCAGGTAATGAGAGCAGTGAGGATGTGGCATCCTGGGCTTTTGTGTTCTGCCTGGAGGAAGGAGGTTTCTCCATCACTACTGGGCATGCCACATCATTGATGTAACCATCACAGCTGGCCTCGGTGCCTGCTGCTGATCCCCGAGGGGCGATGAGGAGGCTGTCTTCTGCAGTCATGTTGAAGTCGGGCTCTGAGTGCCCTAACAGAGGCACACAAGTATTTGCAGGTACTGAGCATGGAGAGCTCCTGCTGACTCCTGGAGGCCCTGGGGATACTCTGCACCTTGGAAAGTCAGGCCAAGCATCTGGACAATGATAGGCCTGATGTTGGCAGCTGAGTCTTGTTAGGCCAGAGACAGAAATTTGACCTTTTCAGTTTGTTGTCCTTGGTTTTGCTGAGGAACTGCCAGCTTGAGGAAGCTGCAGCAGTATCCTAGAGCATCATGCGGTAGCAAAGGGACTTAGTGAGTGCCAGCCACAAGCCAGAGATGGCTAAGAGGCTTGGAGAGAAGGATATGAACAACATTTAGATGCCATTAATATTTGCATAATAGGCCTTCAGCACACAGCGGGTGAGTGAAATACAGGAGCCAGTTCCAAAGGGGAAAGTGCCCCCTGGGAAGTTGAAACTTGTTCGGTCTGTCACTGTGCCATGCAGCATTTGGTACATGCACAGGTGCCATAGAGCAGTGACGCCTCAGGCTGCCACCCGTGCACTACTGAGAGGCAGCAGGTGATCTGCAGAGAGTGGGGTTGGAAAGCAGAGCAGCAGCAGAGACGAGTCCGTGCTCAGATTAAGTATGCCCCCTGGGCTCCGTTAATACACGTTTATGTGAGCGGGGCTGGATTAACCCTTTGGTGGGCCCTAGGCAAACAAACTCTTGGGCCCCTAGCTGAAGAGGAAATGTGTATATTACTTTTTTTTTTTCACTCAATAATTACAATATGTAAAATAAGCACAACTGGGTCTCTTCTTCACTTAGGGCCCTAGGCACGTGCCTAGTTTGCCCATGCATTAATTTGGCCCTGCATGTGAGCAATAGAAAGGCACCCTGGATACCCAGGAAGTCAGCCTGAGCTGCATGGCATGTACTGTGGCACTGTAGCACAGGAAGAGAATGGAGGGCAGTAGTGAGCAACATGCAGCGTCTGGCCCAGGTAGAATATAACCACCTGCTACTGCTAAATGCTAGTGGAGGCTCTCCCATAGCTCCGGTGATAGCTGAAAATGCTGAGTTCAAATCTCCTGTGGTGGAAGGGTTCTGGTCCTCCCTGCTAGTGATGGAGAGTACCAAGGGATGGAGACATGCCCCTAGCAGCACAGCACCTGCTAGTGGTGAGTCATGTTCAATGGAGGCTTAGAGGGGCAAATAGCTTGCTCTTTGGGGCAGCATTGGCTCCCCTTCTCCTTTTTCTCTCATGCAGTGCCCCTGCAGAGGGGAGTGGAGGGTAGGGGCTGTCTGAGCACCAGTGTGGGGCACTGGAGTTGTGTACAGGCCTGGTTATACTGGTCCCTTTCTCTCCTAGGTGATGTACTTTAGCTCCCTCTTCCCTTACGTGGTGCTGGTTTGCTTCCTGGTGCGGGGACTGCTGCTGAGGGGAGCCGTAGATGGGATCCTGCATATGTTCACTCCAAAGGTAAATTCCCATCCCCCATTGCCCTGATCAGACATAGACATTGCCCAGTGTCCCTCAAATTGCCAACAGGGGAGGAGGTGGATCTGATCTCAACAGATTTCAGACTCCTTCCCTTTCCTTTCGGCCTCCTGCTTTTATTTTGCAGGAGGAAGCTGGCTGCCGCTGTAGAAAATCACTGGCAGGCACACACTGATGCACACATGTACATGTGCAGTCATGCCTACACACGGGCAGAGCAGCTGCCAGTCACACCTACACACCGACAGTCATTGTTGTGTCCCCCCTCCCCTGCAACTAGTGTAAGTGCACGCATGCATGCACGAACACACACAGTTCATACTAAAAAGCAGCAGTAGTGCAGCCATATGCAGCCTTGCTTAGATAACCCCCTACACATACATACACTCCTACTGAAGACTGGTATTGAAATAAGGCCCACACTGAAGCTCATCAGGAACCCATAGGCCACCCCTACCTGATGCAGTTGGACCTGACTGTACCTTCACTGGGGTGGGGGGATGCAGCCAGGTTCAAGCATGGGATACTTTGGGGGCTGACTGCTTGGATCAGGATGACACTGCTGCCCAGGACCTACAGCACTTGTCGGTTCTGCTGGCGTTGGTAGCTAGCTATGGGCTTCATGCTAAGATGCCAGGAGGCTGGAAACTGGCTGATGCATAACCCTCTGTTGGCACTGTGTATCAGTTGATGAACTGGCTAATTCATTAATTAAGCTGAGATGTCGATGAATCGGCTCAGCCTGTGAAGTTCTTACAAGATATGAATTATGATCTCTTAATGAAAGGCACCCAGAGGCTTGCATCCTAGAACGGCAGCTCTTAGGAGCAGTAGAGCGTGGTGCCCAGGGGGTGCGAGTTACACAAGCTGATGGGCACCTCAAAGCAGTAGTGATGCTGAGGGTACTTTTAAAGCACTTGCACCGTAGGGAGACACAGGCATTCGAGGATCCTGAAGGGAGCACTCAGCAGCCAGTGGTCCTCCAAGGAAGATTGGCACTCACTTGAGTGGATGTGCAGTGCTAGCTGGTGCCCATGTAATGGAGGGGAGGGAGACTGGAGGGATGGATGTGTTGAAGATGAGGAGCTTGGTGCAGGTGTGCCCACCCTAGTGGGCAGGGTGTCTCTCTGCAAGTGACTCCTTATGAATGACTTTAGGTGAGTTGCTGCCCTCAGCTCTGAAAGGAGCTAATTATACTTGTTCACCATCAGGAAGTGCTTTGGCTCCATGAAGGATGCAGCAGGTGGACCACAGGTTTGGGGCTTCTCATCCTCAGGACTGCCCCTAACTTGCTCAGTTGTGATGCTACTTCCCTGCTTGATGCCTCAGTTTCCCCATGTGTGAAACAGATACAATAACACTCAGCTCTGGGAGACCTATAGAGGGACTCTGCAGCATCAGCGTGAAAGGTCATTCTGTCTTCAAAGAAAGAAACTCTGTCCTTGCCTCTGCCAGTTCACAGCAAGATGGTCTGTTCATGTGCAATGTGCAAGAGTCCCAAGCTCTGGGTAGCATGTAGGACCACCGCCCATCTGTTCTAGCGAGGGGCTCATTGCTTTGGTGCAGTGACAGGCATGATGTTTTTAGATACAGGCCTGCTAGGCTGAGTCAGTGGGGAGAGCAGGTGACTCACTGGTTTATCTCCATTCCCAGCTTGACAAGATGCTGGATCCCCAGGTATGGCGAGAGGCAGCCACACAGGTCTTCTTCGCCCTGGGCTTGGGCTTTGGAGGAGTCATCGCGTTCTCCAGCTACAACAAGCAGGACAATAACTGCCACTTTGATGCTGCGCTTGTCTCCTTCATCAACTTCTTCACCTCCGTGCTGGCCACCCTGGTGGTCTTTGCTGTCCTGGGGTTCAAGGCTAACATCATGAATGAGAAATGTGTGGTGGAGTACGTGTATCCTCCTCTCTCTCTCTCTCTTCCCGGGACCCTTCTCTTAGCCCTGATCCTCTCAGTAGGACAGGGACACCTACCCAGACTCTTGTAACTCCTTTAACACATGCAATAGCAGCTCATGGTTTTAAGACCCAGAATCTCCAAGTTCAACCCCTGAGGGTGACACTGCAGGGGTGAGGGCTCCATCTGTGTTGAGTCTGATCCATTCCTGGATGGGAAATTTCTCCTCAATTGGTGCCCAGCTGAAGTCATTGTGGTTCAGATAAGGCACAGGACCACAGACCTGAGTCTTAAAGCCTAGATTTTTAAAGGAGTTAGGAGCTCAACTCCTAATGACTCCCAATTGGAACTGAGTGCCTACCTTCCTTTGGTCTCTGACCTGAACCTAGAGTGTAGGGTCTTGGTCCAAGTCTCCTAGGGGAACCCAGCTGGGCCAACTCAATTGTAAATTCTCCCTCCAGTTTCATCTGGAGAAGGTTTTCCCTTTCATTTCTGTCCTAAAGTGGTACTTAGCTATGGGAAGCTAAAGAGCTGCTGCGCTTTACCCCAGAAGCAGCTGCTTTTCACATCTGAGTGGTGTGATTTCTATTTGTGATTGCTAAGATGTGCATAGCGCTTTTAGGTCTGTGGAAGTGAGGAAGCTACATGCATCTAAATGATAAACCAGGGGAGCAAGTTGGGGGCAATGCCAGGGTCTAGAGTTGTGGGATTGCTGCACAAGCCAGTTCTGACTCTTGTTGCAGCCTGAGCTAGAGTTCAGGAGATAGGTGGGGCTTCAGCCCCTGTTGGCGGGGGGTTGGGGGGTGGGGAATAGTCTCTGGAATTGGTAGCTAAGGCAGCTTATCTCTGCCATGCAGAAGTGAACCCTTGCCTCAGCTGTGGGATGAGAGGGAGGACCCAATGCACACAGCACCTTGCCTGGCCCATGGGATGGGAAATTGCATCCTGTGTTCTAGGTGTTACTGTGCATCATCTCTGTTTCAGCTTATGCCCTGCTTTGCTCCCATTTGCATCCTGCATCCCTCCACCCACACACAATGTCATGCCAGGCCCAGACGATGGGCTGATTAGTGATCACATCCCATGTCTGCCCCACTGCACGGGACCACGTGCTCATTCCTCATCTCATTGCAGGGTGCAGTGCTCAAGGGTTTCATGCATGACTCTGGCCTTGCTCCCTTAGGAATGCTGAGAAGATCCTGGGCTACCTGAACACCAAGGTCCTGAGCCATGACCTCATCCCGCCCCATGTGAACTTCTCCCATCTCACAGCCAAGGACTACAGCGAGATGTACAAGGTGATCATGACGGTGAAGGAGAATCACTTCAAGGAGCTGAGCTTGGATGCCTGCTTGCTGGAAGATGAGCTCAACAAGGTGCTCAATGCAAAAAACCTGTCTCTTATTTTAGAACCAGAAGTGCCTCTGAGAGGCTGGGGATGCTAAAGCCACAATGCTTTGGGTAACTCTAGCAGGTCTGCTCATGCTGTCCACCCAGTGCTGTTTATATAGGAGCAGCACGTATGCCAGTGCATGAAAGCCTGGGCATGTTGGCCCACCGTATATTGGAGCATTGCATACTGTATATACAATGCCTGTGAATGCATCTGTAGGTTGGCAGGCTGTCTGGTGAGCCAGTGCAACAGTGTTACTTGGCCATCTGAGTAGAAGAACACGTATCTGTGGAAGAAAAGAGTAGCTATAAATGGAGTGATGGCAGGAAGATTCAAATGGTGTAATACAGGGGTCTCTTCTACACCTGGTCATGTTTAAACCTTTTATTAACAATTTGGATGCTGGACTAGAGAGCTTCCTGGTCCAATATGCAGATAACAGGAAACTGGGAGTGGCTGCACACACTTTGGGGGGATAGAAGTGGAATTCAAAAGGATCTTCTTGATAGATTGGAGAGCTGGGCTAAAGGCAACAGCATGCAATTCAGCAAGCAGAAGTGGAAGGTGCTACAAGTAGGAAAGAGAAGCCAGTCACACCAGTCCTGAATGGGAAATGCTGGTTGTCTAGTAGAACCACTGAGCGGGATCTGGGGGTTTTGGTGAATCGCAGAATCCACATGACTCAGTCTTGTGATGCAGTCACAAAAATGCAAATGCAATTTGGGGTTGCATCAATGGAAGTATGGCAACAGGTGACACAAGGGAGGTGATAGTACCACTCGGCTTGGCCCTGGGTGGGCTGCAGTTAAGAGTACTGCCTGCAGTTTAAGATGGATGTGGAAACTGGAGTGGATCTGGGAGTGGGCAACGAAGAGGATAAAGGGATTGAATGCCAGCTGAAGGCTGAGAGAACTTTGGGGTGTTTAGTTTGGAGAAAAGGTTGCGAGGGTGGGGGGCATGATTGCAGTTTTCCAATATTTGAAAATATGCTATAGAGAAGAGGGAGAACAGTTCAACAGGAACAGCAAGACCGTGGAACAAGTGGCCTAGGGAAGATTGGCATCTCCTTCACTGGAGGTTTTCAAGAAGCTGCATAGATATTTGTCTTGGGTAGCATAGGAATAGTGAATCCTGCAGGGGGTCAGTTTAGATGGCCCTTAAAGTCCCTTCCAACCCTGTGATTCTATGATAAAATCACACAGGCTCCTTGCTCTACCGGGCATCTTTGTAGTGTATGCACGTGTCTGTTTGTGTGCACACACAACACCTGGGCAGGTAAGTACATAACAGTGCAGTCCCTGTGTGTCAAGGGAGGGTGTTCGTACATGTGCGGGTATGTATGTGTGTGCATACTTGTGTCTGTTGGCATTAGCATAATGTAGCCTGTTAAACGATAACTCTGCTCGTCTCTGGCTGTAGAGCGAATTAATGGCGCTGCCCCTCCACCCAGCCAGTGCAGGCTGGGAAGCTACAGGTTATGCTGCAGGACCTGTTTCTTAATTTCATGGAGATGAAAGCCAAAGGGATCATTAAGTCCGTGACTCCGACCCCTGTAGACCAAGACCCATTCCACCCAGTTACCTCTTATACTGAGCTCAGGCACTGGTTATAGCATTTCAGTCCTTAGAGAGCTGAAGTGTTGTATGCTACAGGCAAGCAATAGGCTGGATCAAGGTGTCAGCACCGCCAGACTCCTATAGTGACAGGGAATTGATTGGATGAGACAGATGGAGAAGCTGTTGTGGGGTCCTGCAGGGGCTCTGCATTCTGATCCCCCTTCTTTGTAGAGGAAGTTATTGGAGCCTGCGGAGTCCAGCATAATATATGCAATGCTCCAGTGGCTGCCTTGACATATACGCTCATCAGACACGTGTGCACTGCATGCAGCATGCATTCAGAGCTCTCCTGTGTGCAGCACAGAACAAGGCGGCAGGGCAAATTCCATCCTCATTAATGTTAACGGGGTAACTGAGGGTAACTCTATCCTTTCTAGACTCATTCATGCATCTCCAAGCATATTTAGTGTCTAACCAGTGTCTTTGTGTGTACATGCCTGGGAAGGCATGAGCATGGGTGTTTTAAGAAGGGAATATGTGCACAGGTTTGGGAGCGGGGGAGCAGGATTAGCTGTTGTTGAGCACAGGCTTGTATATCCAAGTCCCAAGTTCTGTCTGCAGCTTTGGTGGCTCACGAGGCTACTGTCTGAAGCCAGTGGCACATGAGGGAGCCATGATATCTCCTCCAGTTGCTTTTGGTTCCCCAGTCTGCTCACTGTTGGGTCACCTCCTGGGGGAGCTTTCTGTACAAGTGCAGAGTGAGGATTACTGAGGATAACTAGAAATAAGGTTTGAACCCAAGCCTTTAGGGATGCCAAAAACCACCTAAACCACTCTGCCACATGTACTTTCATAGACTCACAAAGGGACCTCCAGCGATTAGCTAATGCAACTGCCTGCTCAGGGCGGCTCATCATTATCTGAGCCATCCTAGGCAAGTGTTTGTTTAACCTGTGCTGAGAACCTGAGGAACAACCATCTCGTACAACTACCAGGCACAATGCGTGAAATATTAAAAAAAACCCCACCCAACTTGCCTCGGGTGTGTGCACACAAGCCTCTTCTAAAGCACTATGCACATGTTCCCGATGTAGTTTTTACTCCTAGTTTGACATTACTCTGCCTTTTTCTGTCCCTGTACAGTCAGTGCAAGGAACAGGTCTGGCCTTTATTGCCTTCACTGAAGCAATGACTCACTTCCCTGCATCTCCTTTCTGGTCCGTGATGTTCTTCTTGATGCTGATCAACCTGGGGCTGGGCAGCATGATTGGGACCATGGCAGGCATCAGCACCCCCATCATTGACACCTTCAAGGTGCGGAAGGAAGCTTTTACAGGTGAGTCTTTTCTTCTGTGCTCTCTGGGGTCTCCATTTCCCTGGCTCCATGTCGGGGTGGGCAGGGTGACTTGAGAAGAGATATTAGAGGTGACAGACCAGAGGTTGTACCCAGGGTCTCCACCTGCAGAACTAAACTTTAGCAGGAGGATACCTCAGCTTTCTACTTATACCATAAGGAGGACTAGAAGAAAGCAGCAAGAGAAGTAAGACCACGGGATTATGGAAGATGGATCTGAACATACTCCCTGAGGGAGCGTGTGTGACACCTGGGTGAGACTAAATTTTGGGATGGCTTAGAGAGAATGGAGCACAAGGTCTATAGACCCAGGGTTACATGGAGAATGAATTTACTGTAAAGAAGGAAGCTAGTGGTCCCTGGATTTAGGAGTTTTTTTATATGTGGTATTTTGCCACTGCCATATGCATGCCTCCCTAGTACTGAACAATTCTTAATTAGTAACGTGCTGCTGGCCATCTTTAATACTGCTGAAGCAAAACAGAGGCAGGAAAATGCAATGGCCAGAAAGGACTGGAGATAGTCCTGGGTGCTACTCCAGGCTCTGTTCATAATCTGCTAGATGACCTTGGGCAAGTCACCTTCCCTCTCTGTGCCTTAGTTTCCCCTCTTATACCTTGCCTTCTAATAAACCCTTTGGGGAGAGCACCATTTCTTATGTATGGGCCTTCGCACATGCAACAAAATTGGCCTTTATAGCAGTTTAAATGCCCTTTTGTATAGCTTTAATGGCGTTGCTGTTTGCACGATTGGCAGTGTATTCCACTTTAAATGACTTTGTAATGTAGCAAGATTAAACCCCTACGAGGTGTTTTAGTTTGCTACCTAACAAAGTGCAATGGTGCACAGGGCACCGGAAGCCGACATGCTCAGGGAAGCTTGGGCTTGGTGGGCTTCCAGTGCCCCGTGCACCATCTCTGCCTCCTTCTCCCACTGCCAGTGCACTGAGCTACCCTCTTGCCGCTCTGCCCCAAGGGCAAGCCAGCCATTCCTGGGCAGTCCCAGGTGCTGGAGCTTACCTGCTTCTCCTGCGGCTCAGGGGCTGTGTGATCCAGCAGCAGCTGGTGCAGGCAGGCTCAACTGAAGAAAAAAAAAAGCGGTAAGGAGCCTAATCTTCTTTTTCCTTTTGGACCCTGCCTGCTTACCTGAGCTGCACAGGGGCCCGGTGCCTCCCTCCACAGCTGCGGCACCCCCAGCAACCACCTGGGCCAGGTACCAGCGGGCAGGTGCCGCCTCTGCGGAGGGAAGCAGCGGGGTCCCCCACAGCTCCGGGACCACTTTGCCCACCACCATGCACCCCTCCTTCCCCCCCAACTGCGGGAGAGGCATGTAAACACTAAGGATCGGGCCCCCTAACCCTTGTGTATACATGACAGCGGTTTAGTCTGGTTTAATTCTCCCTAAATTGAAACAGTAGGTTTTAAAAAAACCCCCACTGGTTCAATTTAGGGAGAACTAAACTGCCATAGCATGTACAAGCACCATATGTACAACACCTAGCACAATGTGTGTGTTTGGTGGGGGCAGGGGCAGACAAAACTCTTGGGCTAGAGGCAATATCTTTTATTAGGCCAACTAGATAGTTGCAAAAAAAATCTTTTTTTTTTTTTTTTTTTTTTGCAAGGTTTCAGGCTCAAACGTCCTGCATCAGGCAAAGGAGAATTCAAAGATTTCTCCCAGGTAGAAATGAAACTTCATATTGCACAGGAGAACTAAAAAATGGTATGGTTCTCCTGGGTAGGAAAGTTAATTTGTAAAAAAGCTGCTCTGCAAGTATGCAAATTGGGCTCAAATAAAGGCAGTTTACTTCAGGTGTCCGATGGCATGCAGGTTGTTGAATGTTGCTTCTTTCTCGTTAAGCTGTTCATGTTGCACAAGAGAATTAAAAGATGGTACGGTTCTCCTGGGTGGTAAAGTTCATCTGTAAAAACAAATATGCAAACTGGGCTCAAACAGAGGCTGGAGCTGGTTGTTTACCTCGAGGTATCCAACGGCAAGCAGGACTGGGCCTCCAGAGATATGGTAATACAAATACTGATAAATTAAATACATTGTCTGAAAACCTCTTATCCAGACCTCAACACACTCTGAATATCCTGGTACCAGATGGAGATCATTTGCTATTTAAAATTGCACTGAAACCCTCCCTTAGTTCTTTGGATAAATGATTTATCCCATGTCCTAGTCAGATAAGCAAGGCTGCTCTATGCAGACTCTTCATTATCTCCTTTACTATTAATTATTGTGGTAGAACTATATTGTGGACAGGAAGGCCCAGCAGTTAGGGCCTAGCCTAGGACTTGAGAGACCCAGGTACAATTCCTTGTGTGGTCACAGATTCGCTTCTGTGACCTTGAGTGAGTGACTAGGCATAAGCTCCCTGTCGTGGGGGCTAGCAGCACTGCTGTACGGCACAGTCATGCTGTGCACTGAAATACCTTGCAGTCTGCAGCAGAGCAGAGATTAGGTCCAGAGCTCCCGTGCTACAGCAATGCCCTAACCACAAGGCCAGTGGTGCTCAACATCTGGTTTGTGAGATGAATCTGGCCCACGTCATCTAGCCCACAGGGCTCTACATGAGTCTGGAGATTTGGAAGCAGGGGAGCGGTGACAGACTCGGAGTGAATCTCTGGGCCCTGGGAGGGTTGCGGGCAGGCAGGGGAGAAGATAACGAATAAAGTAACCCTTACACTGGAAGGGTTCAGTCATTCTCTCCTTCCCCCATTGTCCCACCTGGGTTGACTTGGTGCCCAGCTGGGACTCCCTGGAGAACAGGTCAACCACACACAGAAATGCATTGAGTTGACTTGGTACCTGGCTGCAGCTTCCTGAATTACAAGTTAGCCTGCCACAGGCATGCATTAGGTTGATCTCATGCCTGACTGCAACTCCCCAGACTACAGGTCAGCCTGCCATAGGAATGTAGTGGGTTGACATGATGCCCCTAATTTTACCTGGCTATGGTATGTCTCTTATCCTAGCTGATTCCTTCATGGGTATTATCCCACAAACTTCCCCCCTTCATCCTCCATAACACCCAGGCTCTTCCCTGTGCCCCCATGTACGCACTTCTGCTTGCCTTCTCCTGATCCCTGCCTGCTTGCCTGCCCAGTCTCATGAACCTGCAGCACCCCCTGCCTGTCTCCCACCTGCACCTATTGCCATTCATACCTGCCGCCATCCCCTGGAAAAAGCCTGTGTTCAAGACAACGTGCCAGCCTCCTACTGAAATGAATGAGCTGCACTGGGTCCTGGCTTCCCTGGGACAAAGAGAAACATTCAACTTGGAGGAATCCCCAAGGAAATACCTGGGATTGAAGTGAAGTGAATGACAAGGGAAGAAAATCAAAGCAGCATGAGTAAATGGCCAGAATAACTAGGATACTCCAGTCCACCATAGCAATACACTGGGTTGACTGGTGCCTGTCTGGGGCTCTCCAGGCAATGAGTCAACCTGCCATAGGGATGCACTGGGGTGCATGCACTGGGATGTGACCAGGTGCCTGGCCAGGACTTAGAAAAAATTTCTATAGGGGGGAAATACCCCATAGGCATGCACAAGGTCAGGCTAGCACACCAGATTGCACTCTTGAACTGACCCTGGATGACGACTACTTGCTGGATCTGGCCTGCAGATCAACCCTGCTCACAAGCTTCAGTCCACGGACCTGCCCCATGCCACTCATCTGGGCCACAGAGCCAGAAGACTGAGCTCCACTCCACAGGACCATTCTTTTGCCCCCTTCAATTGCTTTCAAGGGGACTATTTGGTACACTTCATACTAAACATGTCTGTACATCTTTGCAGGATCCGGCTTAGGTGACTAAAGTGACAGAGAGCCGGAAGAGGGGAGGACCAGGCCACAGCAGAGACGGGTGCATCCCCATAAGTTCATAGTGCCAGTGGTCTGTTATACCTAGTCATTACCAGGCTAATCAATGCTCAGTTGTGCTCGCTGGTATAATAATTCATTATTCTGATTTATTATTATAATGGTAGCTTCAGTGGTGGCCCTTTTTTCCACCAAGTTAACCCTCCCTGAGTGTGCCACTCCTTTCTGGGTGCAGTGCTGATAGAGATCTTGTGCTCTTTGCAGTTGGCTGTTGCATCTTTGCCTTCCTGGTGGGCCTCATCTTCGTGCAGCGCTCAGGGAACTACTTTGTCGCCATGTTTGATGACTACTCTGCCACACTCCCACTCACTGTTGTGGTAATCCTGGAGAATATTGCTGTGGCCTGGATTTACGGCACCAAAAAGTAAGAACATGGGCATGGGACATAATGGCTCAGACCTTTCTTACTGTCTTACTCCAGCTCTGGGTTCAGGTTCAGTCCTAGAAAGCAACACTACCCACTTCTGTGGAAAACAGCTCACCTGGACTCAAACCTGACTGAAGAGTCTGAAATGTCCAGTTAAGCTGGTCTCCAATGCTTCTTGTTTCCCTTCACTTGAGGATGTGAGGAGGGTCTAGAGCCAGGAGTGTTACCATCCCAAGATGGTTGTTCTTGCAGGCTGTATGGAACAAAATGAGACCCAGTAGTTGCTTAGTTGTTACTTCCCTGCATGAGATCCCAGAGCCAGCTCTACAGCCTCCAGAGGTTCAGAGTGCAGAGAACTATTGGCCTATCTCTCTGAACCTAAGCTGAACTCTGGCCTTTCTTAAGGTCACCCCGAGGCCACGTCTACACGTGCACTTTAATGCACATTAGCTTATTTTAAATGTGCATTAAAGCGTCACTAAAGAAATTGTGCTATTTAGTTAATGCACATTAAAATAAGCTAACGTGCATTAAGCATCACTTAAAAACTGCTCTTTAATTAATGTGCGTTAAGACAGGCTAATGCGCATTTTCTTAATACCTCACAATGGAGGGCATTTATACACATACGTTTTCATGCTGTGATGTGCTGGAGATCCAGTACACTTGAGTAGACTCAATTAATCGAGTCTGCTCCACGCACGAGCTGATGTGCACTGTGCTGTGTTGTGTGCAGTTGTATAAGCAGCAAAATGTACGTCAGCATGCAGAAAATGGTGGCAGTGCGCTTGTGAACTAAAACGCCTTCAATGTGTTTTCGTTCAGAAGTGCGCCGCCATCATTTTCTCAGCGCTGACCCTCATTTCGCTGTTTATACAAATGCCTGCACTGCAGCGCTGCAGTGCAAGCATGCGTACAAACGCCCGGAGGTACTAGATTTAATGCACATTAACTAAAGTGCATTTAATGCATGTGTAGATGGGCTAAAGTGACTCGTTTAAGAGCCTTCCACCTGACACAGGGGAAGGAAAAGGGCAGGATTCTTGTGTTTCACCCATTGGGGTTCCCTTTCTTTCCTATCCAGGTTCATGCAGGAGCTGACGGAGATGCTGGGCTTCCGCCCATCCCGGTTCTACTACTACACCTGGAAATACATCTCTCCCATCTGCATGGCTGTGCTCATGACTGCCAGCATCATCCAGCTGGGAGTCAACCCTCCAGGATACAGTGCTTGGATCAAAGAAGAGGTAAGTACAGGAGCCTCCCCTCTGACCTCTTTTTGAGACCCCTTTATTTCAGACCACCCACTCTTGCTTTTACTTACCTTCCCCAATGACTTGTCTCCCTCAGTAAGGAGTAGGTAAAAACTGAGTGAGGGACTTCAAGGTTTAATTCCAGGCTGAGTTTTCTCAACCTCTTTGGTGATGGGCAGTTGACTCCATCTCACTCCATCTTGGAATCACTTTTCTCCTGGTGTGCTTACCAGTTGGTGGGAGGTGAAGGTGAGAGGCAACTAGAGTCTGGGAAGATCTTCCTCGGCAAATGCAGCAAATAAGCAGACTACCATAGGTGGACTGTTCTTCTGCCTTCCATCCTATTCCCCTCTAGACCACGTATTTTGCAATAGTAAATGATGCCGCTGTAAGTGCAATGCAAATGAAAATTAAATACTCAAATGGCAAATCAGAAAAATGGCTGGTAAACTGTGGTAAATCCTCAAACTTGTGTGTGGTTGCATAAATCCACATTCAGACTGCACTGGCCCACTATGCAATCCAAGTGTATCCAGAAGTGTCAGTCCTAGCCTGCAGATCAGTCCTACAGCTGGAGGTGCGGGGCCGGATTCTGACCTTGGTTACATCAGTGAATTTGTAGTGTATATCTGACATCAATCATTTAGACCTGCCCTGGAGTTGCTCCAGAGGTACACTGGTGTAGCTACGGTCAGCACGTGACCACAGGATTTAAGTATCTTCTTTAAATACTTATTTCTTGTTTTGGAACTAGCTCTCTGCTTGCTGGAAGGTTTCTCATTGCTGGAATCCCATGTTTTAAGTTCTTCCTGTGGTAATGCTAACCTGGAGGGTGTGAGATCTCCCTGCTCTCCCTTTTGGAAGAAAAGTCTTGCCCCTTCTCAGGGGTACAAGATACAGGAGGTAGATGCTCATGCCCCCTCCTCATATGACACTGCCCCCTTCTCTTCCAGGCTTCAGAGAAGTTCCTCTATTACCCAACATGGGCTATGGCCATCCTCATCTCTCTGATCATCCTGGCTACTCTCCCACTGCCAGTGGTCTTCATCCTCCGCCAGTTCCACCTGGTGTCGGATGGCTCGAATGCCCTTTCTGTCACCTACAAAAAGGGCCGGATGATGAAGGACATTTCCAACTTGGAAGATAACGACGAGACCCGCTTCATCTTGAGCAAAGTGCCCAGTGAGACCCCCTCCCCAATGCCCACACACCGGTCCTACCTGGGCCCAGGGAGCTCTTCCCCGATGGAGATGAACAGCACACCTAACGGACGCTATGGAAGCGGGTACCACTTGGCCAGCACTCCTGAATCTGAACTGTAATGACCGCCCACCACCCTCCCAAACAGAGCCCTGGAGAGGAGGTCCCCAGGAGCTGATCCTGACCCTGAGGGCACTGATAAAAGAAACCCATCTTCGAATTTTAACCAGTAAGCAGCCATTTCCAGGGATGACATCGTAAAGGGATTGTGGGAGGGAGCGGGACTTCTCTCCTGGCAACCTCCAGTCAAACAGCAGGATGCCTTCCCGGCTGCCCTTGTGAATAGAAAAGAAAATGAAACAAGACACTGCAATAAATTTTATAGGGATGTTCCTACAGAGATGCCTCCTGGAACAAGTCAAGAATCTCTTTATTTTCAAGCACCTGACGGTTGGAAAAGGGACACACAATAAGGTGACAGCCAAAGAAGTTTCCTCTTCTAGCCTGGATCTGTTCCCCCTCCGTTCATTTTCCTTTAGGTAGGAGACGTGACAGCCTTATTCCAGTGAGCACATCTAGCCATCAATGTTCATACCATGATGAAGAGCCAGTTCCCTCCAGGTTTGTGTTGCTGTTGTGTCTCCTGTGCTTTAAAAGCTCTGGAGGTGCCCAAAGCCTAGCATCTGTGGACATTTCTTACCATGCAGGACTAAGGTGTATCCCAAGTAGGCAAAAATGCTTTGTAGCCAGTGGCAGAGCCTGGCTAATCTTTGGGTGTCCGTCCACTGCGTTGCTACTGATGCCAGTACAACATACAATGGGATTGTGTCAATGAATAACTTTGAGATGAGGAGATCCCCTTCTGGATGAGGCTTCAAGTTAGCATGCCCATTTACAATGCAGTGTTACTCTTCCAAATGGCAAAAGCAGCACAAGACCTCAGATGGATTCAGGTGCGTGAGCATGTGCCATGTGTGCAGGCCAGAGTCTGAACAGAGTTACCACAGGGTAGATCCAGAGTGATCTCCTGGGAAATTGCAGGGTTCACACTGGAGTCACTCCTGATATGCAGCATATAACGGTGTTCAGGTTCCAGCCCCATGACTTTTATTTTCAATGCACTGTGTGAAAGAGAGCACTGGGAGAGTGATGAATAGATTCCCCTTGCTAGACTGGCTGGATGCTCTGCAGGGACAGGTAGCAAAACTGGGGCTATTGGACTCCTGGTTTAGCTCTCAGGAACTAGATATTATCATTTGCCCACGTCCTTGGGGTTGGCTGGCTATAACTGAGGGCTGAAGGTGACCATGTGCACCCAGCATCTATTTACAAGGCCCAGGTATCCTCAGCCAAGGATCCAAATCCCTCCCTGGTATAGTCCCACAGACATCAGTGCCCTTACGCCAGGGGTGTATTTGGTTCTGGGGGCCATGCCTTGTTTCAGGAAGATGGAGCTTGGCATCACATGTTATTGAGTCTCCTCTCAGTTAGCACTAGATCTTCACAGCTCTGCTTGGCTTCTGTGCCTGACCAGTGGGTCTCTTGTTTGACCCAGTCCTGTCACAACCATCCATGGGTTTTGGGACCTGTATGAGAGAGTTATGCTGGTACTCCCAGCTCCATCTAAGAGGTTAGGACCAGAGGCAGGGAGCATCACTACCCCACATCCATTTGTGGGTGTCTAGAGGAGCTGTGAGTGTGACAGGTCCTGCTTCTCATGTCCCTCTGGGGCAGGGGAAGAAATTGTCATCTCACATATTGCTACCATCTGAGCAACTCGCTGAGACCTTGCTTTTGCACTTAAAGCCAATGCCATAGACTCTCATGCCAGGGCCCAGGCCACTGATTTTATTTTGACCTTGCAGAGGCTGAGAGACTGTATCTTCTCTCTGCCTCTCCTTTTCCCTGTCCCATTTCTCTTGGTTAAATACAGGCAGGCTAAAGACTGGTAAAAATCTCTTGGGCCTTTTGTGCTATTGGTTTCCAGGAGCAGCCTTTTCTCTTTCTGTCTCCCTCTCTGCAGCTTCCCTTATGCAGCCAGCAAAGCTTTACATGCCATATTTTACTGGCATATCACATGCACCTTTCCCCCAAAAAAATTAGCCTTCCAAAATTGGGGTGCATGTCTTGAGTGGGGAAGCTGATTTTCTGCCCCAAATAGAAGCACTTTGCTTTGATTCCTGGTCCACCCAAAGTTTAAAAGCAACTTCCCAGCAGCAGCAGTGCCATTTCTATTGAGGCAGCCGAGGGAGTCTGTTGACTTAATGGTTCCCTGCTTTTTACTCCACAGGTGCTAATGACTGCCTCTTCTTTGCAATGGACTTGATTTTCCACTAATCAAGCTAACTTTTCTTTTGGCAATTTTGCTGTCTGCTAGCTGCTCCTGGTCTCTTGTGTCCTATTTCACAGCTCTACAGACTGTTTTTTACCTCCTTTCAAATTTGTAGATCTGCCCATTGAGACCAGTCTTTAGCAGCAGCTACTGTTTCGTCTTCCGGGTGAGTGAGCTGAAGATTAGGTTCCTCATCTGATCTGTGAGGCCATAACTCTAGCATTTTTTCCCTTCATTCTGCACCCCCCCCCCCCCCCCCAAAAAAAAAGATGTATGTCTTTATTTGGGGGCATGTGGTATATAAGGAAATACAGTAACCCCTCTTTTCTCCTTCTGCTGCATCTGCTAACTGAGATTTCTGCGAGTACTTTAACTCAGACCCTCAGTAGCCATTTCACAGATAGGCAAAAGGAGGCACAGACTTGGCAAAGGGTGCAGTGTGAAGCACTGGGAAGAGAACCTGTGGCATCTGGGTCCCAACCATTGGTCTGTGAACAGCAGGCCTCCATGCCTCAGCCACTACGAGCCTTTCATGTGAGGTCGCAGCATCCAGAGGGAAGGGTCCCACTCTTACAATTTTTCTGAGTCAAATTCAGCGATGTCATGCTTTAATATCCTTGCCCCAATTTGGAAGGCAATACTTCTGCAAGAATGAGTGATGACAAACCCAATAGCCCCTCTTCTGCCACTCTTACCTGTGCCCACCATTCATGATGGCCTTTTCAATCCCATTTTTAGTGGAAGTCTAGCCAGTTGGCTGTAGTGGGCAGCTGTTTACAGCAGAGCTGAATGTAGGCTGCCTGGCGTGGCATGTGGACCAATTCTGAGCTGAGACTGGTTTGATCCTGGCTACACTTCACAGAAGCAGAGAGACGCTCCTGCTCAGCATGGGTATAGACAAGTTCTGCACTGGATTCAGTGAGCCTGGTCCCCTGCCATGTTTCTCTGTTGACTTCAACTGAGTTATTCCAGTTGACGCCAGCTGAGGAGCTGACCCCAGGGGCCTGAGCCATGTTCACTTTGCATATGCAGATGGCCAAGTTGGTGCTAGTTTCCCAGTTTTGCCAGGTATAGCCTAAGTTTGATCTTCATCACTCTGGTGATGATTCTTCCCTCACTCATCCAAGAAGGTCAGTGAGGAGCAACTCTACTATAATCACTACCCTGGTCTGGTGTGGTCAAAGGAAATCGGGGCCCATGCTTTCCTTTTCAGTAGTTCACACCCTGGCTCCAGTGGGTTCCCACTATACTAATTCACCACTGGCAAATGGGAGCCACTGATTACAATTGCTTTACTTCTCCCATTGTTCTTGATACTTTCTATCATATGATAGGGCCACCACTGTGCTGATTTAGCCCAGGAAGGGACTGGGGGAAGGCAGGAGGGATCTATCTCCTTTCACTGCCTTTTCCTAGCGTGATTTATTAAGTCACCAAGTCAGGTTGCCTATTTGCTGTGCGTTATTAAAGGTGAGGATAGATCCACTACAGGGTGGATGTAGAAGTCTCCTGGTCCCTGTGTCCCTTAGCGTCTTGTTGGACACCAGCAGTCCTAAAATGTATCAGCCTCTGATAAGAGCAGTGTGGCTACCTGGCTCTCCTTGGTGACCTTGGACAAGTCCCATCTCTTTTTCTGTGCCTCAGTTTTCTGATCTGTAAAACTGAGCTAATGATCCAGCCCACCTTTGTAAGGCACTTCGAGGCTTTCTGCTGAAAAGTGCTTTATACAATGAAGTGTTATCTAGTAAGGCAGCATTTGAACCCCAGGTGGAGCAGACTGCTTTGTGGTTTCATGGGAGCATCAGTGCTTTGCACCAGCTGGGCTCTGTTCCCTATTCTGCTGTTGTTTATACTGGGAACATCCCATGGCCTTACCCTGTTATCCCTGATTGACACAAAGGAGAGGCAGGGGTAGAACTGGGCCCATCACACACAGAAACCTGAATGGATCCTGGGCCTCGATTGATTTGTAAATGAATTTTCTGATCCCAATACTTCGGGCAAGGGGAAGTGTCGTGGAAGGAAGCAGAGCCAGGGACTGTCTGAGAGGGTTGGAGAGGGCACAGCGGTGTCGCTGGTTGTACGGTGGAGGCCTGTCTGCCTCCAGCCACCTTGGGAGCTGTGCAGACAGCTTCTAGGGGGAGAGTGAGGCATGTGCAGCCAGGGTCAAATCTGTTCTTCTTTTTCTCTAGTCTCCCCCCCATCTCCCTGCCCATCTTCTCCTTCTGCCTCCATCTGCTTGTGCTTTTCTTCCCCTCTCTACACAAGAGCAGAGGAGTCACTCCACACCATTACACCATGCATCCATCTGGACCAGTCTCCCCTCTTCCAGAGTGGCCAGCACCAGCTATTTCCAAAGGGGAAGGAGGGATGTGAGGTATCTCCTCATGGTCAATCATGAAATAACCTGCCCATAAGGGAAAGCCCTGCTAATTCCTGATATTTCTAATTCTGTCTGTCTGTCTCTCTCTCTTCCCCCAGTGGGCCTTTCTCTCTCTGTGGACCCCATCATGGGGCTCCAGGCCAAGTAAGCCAGGGGTTATCACAGAAGCACAAGCTTGAAGTCCAACATAGATGTCCCAGTGTGGATCTGCATATCTGCTAGGACAGATCCCCAGTTGATGTAAAATCACATAATTCTAGATGCTTTGATGGGGGTTATACCCATTTATTCCAGTTGGGGATCTAGCCCATAATCTCTTGAACCATGTTTTTGAGCCAGCAGTGAGTCTTTTCATTTCCCCCTCCTTCTCTTGGTAGTTTGGAGGCAACGGTGATAGACAAGTGAAGAAAAGCTATATTATATATATAGAATAATAACCTATAGATTCTATTTCTATTGTATATTTACTCTGTAAATGTTGGTGTAAATTCTGTTAAATGACAAACTATTCAAAAGTGACCCGTGAACTATTTTCATTCTCAGTGCTGTACAGATCTATTTTCATTGTATATTTGATATATTTATAATTTAACTTTTTTTTTTTAGTGTGTGATTGGTGACTGTCCCCCTGCCAAGCTGCTCCCAGGAGTGGGGCTACAAGGGGGCCGCTGCCTTCATTTAATCTGTGGAAGTTTAGTATTGCTTTGTGGCATTTGCTAGGTATTAGGTTCCAGGGTGGGATTTAAGTGTTAGGTGCTGTTTGCAGTCTGTGTGTACGTGCGTGCGTGCGTTAGGGTTAGTACATGCTACGTGTGTTTGTATGTGTTTTGTTAGGATTGACTTTCGCTGTTCTTCAGTCACTTCAGGGTCTCTCTTTCGTTTCTGTTGGCCACCAATGCATTCGATTTTATAGCAATGAATGTGGCTGGGGGAGAATTCATGAAACTTGTCTGATAGCTGTTCCCTCTGTCTGGCAGGGAGAGGGTTAATGCTAATCCACTGCAGGGTTTTATGCTGCCAGTCACTTTGTTGAGCTCTCATAGACATGAGGAGGAGCCAATGCTATGGTCACTGCGCACCTTCTTTCTTTGTAATTACAAAATAACGATGTCACTGTACCTGCCACCCTCGGGGCTCCTGGTTTATTCCCACCCTGACTTGCGTTGTTGGGAAGCTTCGGTGTCCTTGATTTTATCACAAGCAGCTGCTGAATAGACCAGTAGGAGAGACAGCAATGTGACACATTAACCACTGTTGTTAACTAGGCTGAAACCCTCTAGAATTAGCACTGTGGGATGGAGCCATTATTGAGGATCAAGGACCAATATGGGTTATTCTCAAAAGATTTCCCCCATCTCTTTGTGGGAGCCCTTAGCTGCTACTTCACCAGCCTGCTTCAGTGAGGCTGGTTTATTATAGCACAGGATGCAAACTAAGCAAGCACAACAGCCAGAAGGAAGCACTGACTTTCCAAGTCCTGTCCAGTCCAGCCCAGCTTGGGGCCACACAGCAGTGTCCCGGCTTGCACCCGCATCCCCTGGGTGCTGCATGGAGTCTCTGCCCAGCCCTGGGAGCAAAGCCAGATGAATGAGTGCATTTCATAGATCCCGGGCCAGCAGTCTGTCTTAAGACTGAAAAAACAAAAGGTCAGCACACGTCCCTGCCCCAGTGCAGTCATATCATGCTCAGGGAACTGGAACAGCAGCCCAAGCCAGGAGGCAGTGTTGGGGAAAGGCTTCAATGAAGACCACAGAGGCCTTGTCTTGCAATCACTGCAAGCTTAACTCGACCTCCTCCTTGTGCACTGCAGCTGGCTTGGACAGTTGCATTCATCACACGTGAGCCCTTAGATCAACCTGGGTGCAGGGGAAGGGGCAGCTGTAGCAGGTTGGTTCTGCCATAGTAGATAAGGTCCCGGTCCACAGATGCAGACACCCCATTGTTTTGCTGTTGCTCAGGAGAGGATGCTTTGCACAGCTCATCTATAGGGGTGGAATCGGAGGTCTCTGGCCTAAAAGCATCCGTCTCTACTGCATAAGGTAGAAGCAGAACTATCAGCAGGGGCTCATAGGGAGAGTTTAACTGTCTTAAGATATGCTCAGGATCTGAATCCAAATC